TGTTAGAGCTGAACCCTTAGTGTCTCTGGCAAGATGTTCTGCTCCTCAATCAGCTGGGTGGGTCTTGCCTCTAGCCTCTTTGCAGGGAGTTCTGCTGAAAGGTTCCCTGCTGGGCCTGCGCTCTGGGTCTATTCAGGATCCCGAGGGCCCCAGTCGTCTCACTCCCTCGCCGGGCCTGGGCTCTGGGTCTGTTGAGGATCCTGCGGCCTGGGTCTTCTCACTCACTCGCCGGGCCTGCGCTCTGGGTCTGTTCAGGATCCAGAGGCCCGCAGGTCGTCTCACTCACTCACCGGGCCTGCGCTCTGGGTCTATTCAGGATCCTGCGGCCCCCGGTTGAGTACTGGCAACTTCTTATGACCTGATCTGATAAGTTTGCCTTTCTGGTGAAATTGCTTTAATACATGGTGGACCACTTAACATATACATAATTGATCATTTAACAAACACCCAAATACCAACTGTGTCCCTGTAACACTGTTAGGAGTCAAAGTATTACAGCAAGCCCATATTTAAATATTGAGGATAATAGGATTTACTAGTATTATTTCCTTTCAGTTTTATCCTGGAAATGGTTATGGTTGATTCTCTTTCTCATCTTTTTATGCCTGAACTCATTCTCAGTTTGAAGAGATTCTCTGCTTTTGGAAGGGATTACATGAATTAAAAATAAAACCTCTTACAAATCAGCCATTCATTACTCATCTTTAAACCAATGTTCTTAAATTGGCCATTTCTGTTCTAATGTAATTTGAATGTATAATTAATACTATTATTTATTAAGAATATATGGTTTGAACTCGCCTCATTTTTCCTAAAGTGGAGAATGTTATCTCCATTGGTTTTGGTTTTAAACTTTCTAGTTATATTTTCCTCCTTGGCTAGGATTGGGAAATTAATGGGTCCGGTGCCAAATGTAGCCAGTTGCCTCTTTGTAAATAAAGTTTTATTTCAGTGTGATCACCTGTTCATTGAAATAAAGCCTATGCTGGCTTTTGTGCTGCTGTGGCCAAGTTGAGTAGCTGTACCGTGGCCTGGGAAGCCTAAATGATTTACTCTCTGGCTCTGTGCAGGAAACATTTGCTAACCCTGCCCCTCTGAGGACACATTCTCACGTCCTCTGCCACTTTGCATAAAGCTCAGGCCAGACCTCAGCTCTGGTGTGGGCTCTTAACTTCCTATGGCCAAGCCCTCAATTCCCTGTCCTAGATTCCAAGCTACACACACTCTTCGTTCACATGTTCCCAGACTCAGAAGGGCATTGGGATCAGAGAACTTTTAAAAGGGCTGTCTTTGATTGCTTCTCTCTTTTTTTATAGCTCCAAATGAAAAAATGAAGCAGGTTATAAAGAAGACTATAGAAGAAGCCAAAGCAATAATATCTAAGGTCAGCTTTTTAAAATGCTGCTCTAGAAGCTTGTCTTTTTAAAAATACTACATTATGGCTTCCAGAGTATCTGTCAACCAGCCTTTTCCTCTCTTTCTTTCCTTGCTTCCTTCATTTCTTCCGCCTGCCACAGGCAAAAAGAGAAGAGCATGTTTGGGGTAGGCTGTAGCTTTCCATATGTGAGTTATCCTGATCATCCTACTTAGCAGATGAAGGCTTTTGCTGGTTTATGCAAATGTAGGTTCATATTACAGATGTCTTTATAAGGCGTGATAAAAAAAATATGGTGAATTGGACTGAGGAGATAGCTCAGCAGCGTAAGTGCCTGCCTGGGAAATACAGGGTTCTGAGTTTGATCCCCAGTACCAAAAAAAAAGGTGAATGCTGCTGCTGATTGCCATCCAATGTAAAGGCAGGCTCGTAAAACATGTGTCCTTTTTCACCATATTCACTAGATCTGGCACTAGTGTCACTTCTGGCTTTTCCCATTGTCAAAATGAGCATGGAAGGTAAAGATTTTGAGTTGATTCAAGACTTGAAGGCAACCGTATCAGCACAATTAAAGATATAAAAGAAGACTACTTCAGAAAGTGGCAAGAATGATGGCATGAATGTGTTCAAAGTGAAAGTGTATTTGGAGAGGATTAATAGAAAGGTGTCTTTTTACTGTATTTCTTTTTTTATTTGTTTTTAATGCATTTGGTTATGCAGGGTTTCACTATGCAGCTCAGACTCATGGTGATTCTCCTGCGTTTAGCCTCACCAGTGCCGGGATTACATGCGTGCGCCACTACGCCAGGACTCTGGCCTGCTCAGCCTGCCCTGGGGAGGGGCCAGTGCAGCATACCGTGCCCAGGATTGAACTGTGGTCCTTGCACTTACCTAAGCTTGCCTAAGCAGGTGCTTTAGTCCGCTGAGCTATCTCTCTGGCCCTGTAATTCTTTTTTAATGTAAACATTCACTGCTTTTTTTTTTTTTTTAATCAAATCACATAAATTAGTTTTTTTGGAAATCCTCATATTTATATAAAAATTTTCACAGAAGATGCATAAATGATATCATTGATGTGTGGACGAGCGCATCAAGAGGAAGATAACTTGAGGATATTAAAGAGCTGATACTTTTATCTGTTAGATTTATTTATGGATGAACGGTGTTAGCTGCTACCACCTTCCTTTGCGAGTCTTCTGGGTATAACTGCTGTGTCTTTATTTCTCCTGCTTTATTTGGCAAAGCTGCTTCTAAACTTTCCCCAGACTTTTAAGTTCTTAATTAATGTGTATAGAGTACCAAGAAAGGCTCTTGGTGTCTTGCTGGAAAGAATTCAGTGCCATCAGACATTTGCCAAATGTATTTAGCCAAAGAACCTTTTGAAAGAAAGTAGCAGCGGCACTTGCCAGCCTCTCTTCCTGTCAGCACGTCCAGGCCTGGTTCTGCCTGCTTGGCTCCACACTTTTTCTGTAGAAATCCTTCCTACTCCTTTCTGCCCTCTGCGTTCACTGGGGTACATTATCCTTGACACTCTTTCTCCCTTAGCATTTTCTCTCCCTTTCAAACTGCTGGTTCCTCTGCTCTGCAGGTGACTCTCAAACCACTATCCTGTGCCCTGCCGCATTACCACTGCTTCCCTGAAGAGCCACTTGCTACCTATCAGCTAACAGAGTAAACACAAACTCCTCAGTCTGGCTTTCACTCACCATTGGAAACAAACTCCACCTGCCCCCAGGCCTGTCCTCTCCTATCTGCCTTCAGAGGAGCAGGAAATCTGGTACCTGTTCTTCCACACTCTGCTTGCCCTGAAGCACACTGCTCCCGTCTCCAGCTTTTCAGGTCCTCTGCATTAAAGGCCGACTGAGCTGGCTTTCCCCTCTGTCCTCTCCCCACATGCTCACCTCACAGCACTCATGCTCCTCCGAGCCTGCTTGATGACCTGGACCACAGGGCCCTGGGCTCAGCGCTTGAAGCAGATGGAAGTCACTTTGGGATCAAGAGCTATGTGGCTCCATTTTGTTATTCTGGTGTCCCTGGCAAGTCTTGTGCAGGAGCTTGGTCAGCATGCATTCAAAGGATTTGTAGATAATGATATCTCATCCACTTTCAGAAACAAGTGGAAGCAGGTGTCTGTGTTACTATGGCGATGGTGAAAGATGCCTTGGACCAGCTTCGCGGTGCAGTGATGATTGTTTATCCCATGGGGTTGCCATCATATGATCCCATCCGGATGGAATTTGAAGATAAAGAAGATTTGTCAGGAACTCAGGTATGTGGGAGGGTGAGTTCCCCAAAGCCCTTGGGGTTGGATTCCTCTTAAGGCTATAGTTCTTGCATCGCATAGCTTTGCCTGCTGTGCCACGATTCAGAGGAGGGCCTGAAATTTAGTTTCTGAAAGGATGGTACGCATGGCTGGGGGGTCAGCCTACAGGTAGAGAGGAGGGAGAAAGTATGTAGTAATGAAGCACATTTTCACTGTCTTTGGTTGCTAGGAAATTAGGAATGACTTGTGCTTGCTTCTACCCAACCATATTGGCCCCGTCTCAGTCCCTTTCCCCCTGGGGAGATGCCATACTTGACTCCCACACCTTAGAGAAAGGAGCCTATTTTGATTCGTGGTCTTGGTCCACAGGCAGGTTGTCTGGTTCCAAGGCAGAAATAAGACAGCAAGAGAGTAAGGCAAAGGAGAAAGCGCAGCGAGGGGAAACGGAGAGAGAAGTGAGGGCCAGGGGCAAGAATCCGCCCTTCCAAGCTCCCCCAGCCACGCGATCCACCTCCCCCAAGCCCCCATCTTCTAACAGCAGGTTAGGTATAGCGCCCCATATCCAGTCACCTTCCAGAGGCATCTGGAGGACATTTTAGATTTCAACCATAACATTCTGCCCCTGCCCCAAAAGCCTTATGTCTAGTTCACTGTGCAGGATGCTTTTGGTCCATTTCTAAGAGTCATCAAAGTCACAGTCCCAGCTTTGCTGAAAAGTTCAAAGTCTCTGCTGTCACTCCAGGCAAACTCTTAGCTATGAGCCAATGTAACAGTCAGAGAGTTAAGTATTTCTAACATATCGTGCCATGGGATAAACATGCCCATTCTAAAAGAGCAACAGGGGACGGAAAGGAATGGGATCAAAGGCAGTCTGAAGCCTAGCGGGGTAAACAGTGACTTCCATCACTGCATGTCCAGTACCTGAGGTGGGTTACAGTAAGACGTGAGCTCCAAAGGGTTTACGCGTCTCTGCCCTCACAGCATTGCCACTTGCTGACCTTGTGGCCTCTCTTTTATGGTGGCTATGTTCGCCGCCTGTGTCTTTGCTCAAACGGCCCATGTTCCTGCCATTCTCCAACTTCTGAGGTCTACATTTCATTTTTCCTTCACTCACAGCTTCTTGCACTGCCCTCTTAGACACACTGCCTGGCTTCCCAGGCCTTTGTCTGAAATTGTGATGGAAGCTTCATGACCCTTAGCTTGTATTCTATATGCCTGTAAAAGCAGTACCACACAGATGACACGAGTGTTTGCAACCAGCTCAGGCAGTAGCCAGGGCTCCTTGTGTCATGGCTGTAGGGGCCTCTGAGTTTCCGCATTACTGAGTACACTGAAGTGAACTGCTGGGAACCAAGTCTCTAGGCAGCCCTTCTTCAGCAGCGTCCTTGCTCTCTCCCCAACTGAAAGCTTACAATTTTGGATCTTTGAGCCTATGAAGGGTAGAGTCCTGATTCTGGAGAATATGTTCAAGCTATCATTTTTTCTTTTTTAAAAATTTTTTTAAAAAATCTTTCATTTATTTGGTACAGGGTCTCACCACACAGCTGAGACGCATAGTGGTCTTCCTGTCTCAGCCTCCCCAGCACTGGGATCACAGGTGTGCACCACCACGCCCTGTTTCGGTGGCTGCATTCCCCCTTTCAGTTCTAATTGGTTCAGCAAATCTGCTCTACTGTGTCCAGACTTTTCAGGCACTTCCTGTCTGATAAAACTGGAAACTTCCACACATCTTTTGCTCTTGATTTTCACTAAATCTGACTAAAAGTGGTCATCAATACCTGTACCACAGTCTGAACATCGGGCTGCCTTGAAATTTCCTCCACCAGATCAATTTATCCAGATTAAAGATACCAAGTCTATCCCTAATCTTAGTCTCCTACAGAGTCAGGATGTGAGCTGAATTTTCTGTCATGGTGAAACACAAAGAGCCTGTAGTCTGTCTGTCACGGGGGTTCTTTTTCCTAAAGGACCTGGGCCTGATAATTGTCAGCATTTCTATGAGCATTCTTCTCTTCCAAGCTCAGCTCAGAATCTCCCATCAACCTCAGCTCACAGCATCCTAGGACTTCTCTAGCTGACATCTCCAGGCCTTTCCAAACTCCTCCCACAGACCAGTTCCGAAGGCTGTGTGCTACATGATCAGATACAGTCATAGCAATGACTCTGGTTACTGGAATCTATCTTGGTCACCTTTGCATTGCTGGGACATAGCACTCCACATCTGCAAGGAAAGGATTATTTAGACTTAGGATTTTTGTCCATAGTTAGGTGTAGACAAAAGGCAACAGAGAGGCACAGTGGAAAAAAAGTTGCTCAACCCACTCCACCCATGGCAGCCAGAAACCAGGGAGGAGAAGAGTTAAGGACAAGAATCCAGCCTTCCAGTTCACACTGCTGCGACCTTCCTGCTGACAGCAAGTCAGCCGTAGTGCCCCGTGGTCCAGCCACACTCCAAACACATAAGCTGTCTGGGGGACATTTTATTTTTATTTTATTTATTTATTTTTTGCGGAACCAGGGATTGAACTCAGACCCTTGTTCTTGCCAGGCAAGCGCTTATTCTACTGAGCCATCTCCCCAGCCCTGGGGGACATTTTAGATCTAAACTTATAATAACCTGTCTTCATGGAGTTCTGTGTTCCAGCCTCACCGCTTTCTTCATGATGTCTTCTTCCTCGTAGTGTCCATTGTCCTTTGATTTTTTTCATCGATTCCTGTGCTTCTGGCACATGTGTTTCTCTTAGCCACCTTGAGTAGCTGGACTGTGCAGCAGCAAGCAGTCTGCCTCCATTCCCACACCCAACAGGGTTCCGGCGCTCTCTCCATGGCTGTCACCCCAAAGCCATCCAGGGGGCTTACATTACAGATAAGGATGCAGATTAGCCAGGATGCTCCCCATTCCTGCAGGCAACACGTTAACTGAGTCTGTACTCCAGATATGGTTGAAATGAGCTGAAACCAGCAAGGACTTTGAGTGGAGTGGGGACTAGAGGGAGGCACAGCAGCCCTAGCACGATGCCTGAAACCTGTCCCCTGCAGGGAAGGCCACCAGCCCTGCCTTATGACCACCACTCTTACTATTCCTGAAGTCATTTCTTGTGCTTGGGCCCAGGCAGGACTCAGCGTCATTACAGAATCAGAGGCTCAGCTCTGGTGGGCAGCCAAGGAGTTAAGAAGAACAAAGAAGCTTTCAGACTACGTGGGGAAAAATGAAAAGACCAAAATTATTGTCAAGATTCAGCAAGTACGTATTTTTCCTTAATGTGTTAGTGTTTTCTGTTTAGTTGCTTGCTTCTTTGTAGTGCTGGATGTAGAACCCAGGGTCTCATATGCCGGGCCCAGTGATGTAGCACTGAGCTGCACCCTAGTCCCCCACATCTGTATTTTTATCTTAAACCCAATGGAAATTTACAGTGAACCTGAATGTTTTACGCTACTCATGCCAGTACTTTAATGCTATTGGCTCAGGCTTAAAGTAAAATTGTGTCCTTTCTTTATGCACCAACAAAAAGTGGAACAAAATATGGTTCGATGAGCAATATCTGGAATTTGGTTTAATTCATGGGGGAGGCAGTCCCCCATGTTGTCATGTTAATTTCAATCTCAGAATAGTTATGAGTCAGTAAAACTATTTTTTAAAATGGAAGGGACAGCCCAGAGCACTGACTTCATTTTTCACACTGCCAGTGCTCTACCCAGGAGGAAGTAGGCTAGAGGCCTTGTGAGGGCATCATGGGGGCTTCCTGCTGCCAAGGCTGCCCTGTTTTCTGCACGTTCCTCAGTTATTGCTGGGCCATTTGGGGGAACAGGGCGCAACACCACTGCCTGTCTCCAGAGCCTGTGGCTCAGAGTGTCCTCCTCCCCACCGTCCCTGCAGGGGCTGCCTTGGGAATGCCCATGGCAGAGGTGGCACATTGCACCCTCTGCTGTTTATCCACTTGATGTCTAGAGAAAGGACACTCACTGCTCAAGTCCAAGGCTCCCCTTGAGAAGCACTTGGGATCATCAAACCATAAAACATGGGTAACCTGGCTTCTTTGGCAGCCAGCAGGGGTGGTTATAACGCATCTGCTGTAACTTTCTGGCTTGTGCTTGCAAGGAGGACTCAGTCCATTACTTACTCTCGCCTCATCTTCGCAGCGGGGACAGGGAGCACCGGCCCGGGAACCTATCATTAGCAGCGAGGAGCAGAAGCAGCTGATGCTGTATTACCACAGGAGACAGGAGGAGCTCAA